CCAGGTTTCTGTCCTGAGCTCTGACCTCAGCCAGTCCCAGACTTGCATTTGCCCGGCTCTGATGCACTTTAAGTGAATCTCCCTCACAAGGTACTCTTTCTTGGTTCCGACTCGCCCTCAGGGTCCCACTTGCTTCTCTCTTGGTGATTTCACTGGCCTCATCTCCTAGAAAGTCCTGAGGCATTGCCAAGGGCCTCGCTGGCTGCCCCACCCCCACTGCACCCCACCCCCACCCCTCTGATTACCTCCAGCTTGTGCTCTTTCCTCTCCCGTCGGAGTAGCAGCAACTCTTCATGGGTGGTCTGTAGCCTGCTTTGGCCTTTGTCCACTTCTTCACGGAGCCCTCGGATCTGGGCCTCTAGGTCCTGCCTGCGGTCCTGCAGCATCTGATTCTGGGGACAGGTGTCCGAGATGAGGCAGAGGCTGGGGTGGGGGGCTGCTGGGCGGGTCTCAGGGAGCCCCAGCTGCTCCTCACCTCTGCCTGCAGACTCTCCAGCCGAGCCCTGAGCTCGGCCCCTGCCAGGGCCTGAGTCTGACACTGCCCCCGAAGGGTGTCCAACTCCCGCTGCAGTTCCTGCTCGGTCCTTGAGGCCTGGGGAGGCGGGGCCGACAATGGATCCATCGGTTCCAAGCGTCTGGGTTCAACACCAACCCAGTCTGCCCACCTCCACTGAGGACCTGTGCGTCGGTCCCCACCTCTCCAGGACTCGGGGCCCTTCTACCTGGGCCAGCTGCTGGCTGAGCCTGAGGTTTTGCTCGCTGAGCTCACTGAGGGCCCTCGCCCGCTCTCGACCACTGTCCTGCTGCTCTGACCGTTGTTCCCCAAGCTGGGCCCGCAAGGCCTCCACGTCTCCCTCCAGCTCCACAGCTCTGGCCTCCCACTCAGCACCCCGGGCTGCCAGTCCACGGCGGAGTTCATGATTCTCCTGCTGCAGCCTCTGTGGGGAGGGGAAAGACAGGAAGCCACCTAAGATTGGAGCAACTCAGAGACCAGGATGGAGGGAGGATCACCCAGATCGAAAGAGGCCAGTCTGTCTAAGGCGGACAAGACAGCAAAAAAGGAGAGCCAGTAAGAGGCAGAAAGAATGAAGGTTCCAGGCCAGACAGGTGGGCTGACGGGTGGGAGTCACAGACCTGATGCCCACTCACCTCCGGCTGCCGCCTGGGCTTCTGGACCCGAAGTCGTAAGCGTCGTTTTTGGCGCCTGAGTCTGGTAGAATTCAAGCCCCGGCCCATGGCATCCCACTTCACAGTCTCCTGGAACTTCTGTGGGCCAACTAGGCCCAGCCCCTCTCCCCTTCTCCCTCTAATTAATCCTGGGCTGTCCCACCCAGCGCCCCACCCCTCTCTCTGCCCTCCTCCAAACCTGTTGGACCAGCGGACCAGGGAGGGAGAGGGGGAGGCGTACTTGACACACTAAAGTGGCCAGCATAGGAAGACAGACAGGTCTGGGGGGCCAGTCCACTGTCTTTGAAGGGGGGCCTTCAAAGCAGGAAGGGATGGGATGGGCCAGGTGACTCTGACCGCAGTTGCTACAGTTATTAGCAGATGTTCCAGCCAAGCGCTTTGCTGGCTCTTTGTCTGTATTACTTCATTTCGTCCACTAGAGGGAGCATCCTCAGATGAGGAAACGGGGTCAGAAGCTAGTGTCTGAATGGCCCATCTAGGTAGTCAAACTCTTAATATTGCCAGGGCAACAAAGCCCTGGGCAGCTTTGGGGTCCAATTTTCCTGGCTAGTGCTTATCTCTGCTACTGCTATGTGGTTTGAACAGTCTTTTTGTTGTCTGCAAGTCCCTTTAACATCTTCAAGCCCTTTGTCCCTCAACCCCTGCAGACATACATCATCCCTATTCAGTATCTCCTGTGCTCCTCCTATTCTAGAGTCTGGCTACTAAGAGTTGAGGGAGACCAGCAGTTCAAGTTCACTGCCAGAGGGTCACAGGCAAATGGGCACATGCCTGAATCTGGCAATTTCAGAGAGAAGGGCTGTGGAGGAACTCAGGGAAGTGAGTTGGGGAAGAGGAGCTGGGGGTGTCACTTAAGGAGGGGCTGATGTTTGCATTGGCCCCTGCAGGACAAGAGTAGCCAACCAGAAAGAGGGTTTCAAGTGGAACAGCAAGTGCAAACCAGGAGCAATGGCACACGTGTAATCTCAGCATTTGGGAGACTGAGATGGGAGGATGGTGAGTTCAAGGCCAGCCCCGAGCTGTACAGCAAACCTGACTCCAAAGTGGGGCAGGCCTGAGCCACTCAAGAAACTGAAAAAGACCCTGTCAGAAAAGGGAAAGTGTTGGGAGCTGGAGAGAGAGATGGCTCAGGGGTTAAGAGCACTGGCTGCTCTTCCAGAGGTCCTGAGTTCAATTCCCAGCACCTTCATGATGGCTTACAACCATCTATAGTGGGATCTGGTGCCCTCTTCTGCAGGCATACATGCAGGCAGAACACTGTATACATGATGAATATGAAAAAAAAAAATAGGGGAGGTGTCACTGACACCAGAGGACAGTGGTTCCCGGGACTTTTAGACCACAGTGAGGAGTTTCAGTTTCATTCTAACTGTGATGGGAGATGCTGGTCCAGGAAAGTGATGTGACCTTTTTTTTTTTTTTTTTTTTTTTTTTTTTGAGACAGAGTTTCTTTGTGTAATGGCCCTGGCTGTCCTGGAACTTGCTTTGTAGACCAGGCTGGCCTTGAACTCACAGAGATCTGCCTGCCTCTGCCTCCTGAGCAATGGGATTAAAGGTGTGTGCCACCACACCTGGTCTTTTTCACATTCACTGCTAGAGTCCAAGAAAGCTGGGGCCAGTGTGAGGATGCTGTAGAGCATGAGCAGAGACACAGGGGCTGGAGCTACAGAGAGAATGAAATATGGGGTGGGGAATTTGGAACCTGGTGTAGAAGATTCAACATGGCTTACAGGTGTGCACCGAGGCCTGAGCACCATTTACATGCAAATGCTGGTTGGTGGCCTGGTGGAGAGGGTACAGAGTAGTTGGCTACCAAGGTCAGCTTGGAGCAGGGATCCAGGTCTATAATGTGGGTACATGAAGGTGTTTACAAATACAGATATGAGCCCCACAGTGAGAGTGGGGTTGACAGAGTGAAGACCCGATTCTACAACCCAGGAATGGACAAGAGGGAGAAGAGAAGACAGATACATGGGGAACATTTGGCGAGGTGAATGCTGGGAGTGGTTCCCAGTGTCTGGGTTTATGTGGATGGTTGAGGAGCTAGCCTATAGATTTAGGGAAGGCCTACGGCTTGCCCAGGGTCACAGCCAGACAGGGATCTGAATGCAGATCTTGTTTGGCCTTAAATTATTTTTTTGTTGTTGGGACAGGGTCTCACTATATAGTCCTGGATGGTCTGGAACTTCTGCAGACCAGGTTGGTTTCACAGATATCTGCCTGTCCTTGCCTCCTGGGGTGTCGGGTTTAAGGGTGTGTGACACCACATCCAGCCCGAGATTATTTTTTTGTTATTTATTGCTGTACTGGGCACGGAACCCAAGGCCTTGCATGTGTTACAAAAACACTTTAGTACTGAACCCCACCTCCAGTCTAGAGTTCTTGCTGGCTTTCTTCCTTTCTTTTTAGAGTCTCATGTAGCTCAAGTTGGATTCAAACTCAATATGTAGCCAAGGATGGCCTTGAACCCTTCTGAACTTCCTGCTTCTGCTTCCCAAGGGCTGGTTTACAGATCTCACCATGCCTGGATTCATGTGTAGCGGGGACCAAATTCAGGGCTTTGTGTTTACTTGGCAAGAATTCTACCAACTCTTCACCAATCCCAGTCTACTTTTTTTTCCTTTTAGTTTTTTGAGACAGGATTTCTCTGTATAGCCCTGGCTGTCCTGGAACTCCCTTTGTAGACCAGGTTGGCCTTGAACTCACAGAGATCTGCCTGCCTCTGTCTCCCAAGTGCTGGGATCAAAGGTGTGCGCCACCACTGCCTGGCTCCATCCACTCTTCTTTTTTAATGAATGTGCATGTGTGCTTGCTTGCTTGCTTTCTTTACTTTTCTCTTTCTCTTTTGAGACAGGGTCTCACTACGAAGAATAGAACATTCTGGCACAAAAGTCTGCCTGCCTCTGCCTCCCAAATGCTGGGATTAAAGGCATGTGTCACCATGCCTGGCTCTTTTTCTCTAGGGACAAGGTCTTGTTATGTAGCCTTTCTTAACGTCAAGAGTGCTGGGACTACAGGCTGGCACTACCCCGGTTACCCTGCCCAGATCTGTCTGAGAGGCATCACTCTGCCCACTTGTCCTCCCCAATCCCCCTCTCTCCTCTTCTTGCTGGGCTCTCGTCCCTGCCCACCCTAGCCCTGCCCACCCTCCATCTGCCCCAGAGGCCAGCTCACTTCTTCATGCTCCAAGTGCTGAGTGTTCAGCGTCTCTAGCTGCCTCCGAAGCTCCTCATTGCGTTCCAGAAGCATCTTGCCCAGTTCGGCGGCCAGCAGCAGGTCCTTCTCCTTCTGTTGAAGCTGTAGGGCCAGGTCCTCTGGCTCCTCTGGCCCTGGGCCCCCTCCCAAGAAGGAGTCTCGGCGCTCCAGCACAAAGGGGAAGAACCCTTCATCACCGCTAGGAGAAGCGCCCCCTGAGAGCAGCCCAGAAGGGAAGCTTGGCCCACCGGCGGAGTCCATGGCACCTGTGCATCTGTGGAGACAGGTTGTTGCTGATGGTGCCACCCTGCAGCAGCCCCAGGGCTCGGCCCCTGATGGCAAACACCTAAGCCTCCCAATCTTACAGCCAGGGCCTCCCTGGACCAACAAGGGTTAATGATCCACGTTGGCCACTCAGCTCCGTTAATGACCTCAGGGTAGACTGAGGCAGGAAGCAGAGTGAAACCTGCCATCTTGCTCCGACTCCTGCCTTCTGTCTTTGCCACATGATCTTTGCCTTCAGGAAGCTCTGTCCCTGCACTCTGGGGCCACAAGCCATCCTCTGACAGTTCCTGCCCCTCTTTCCAGTCCCTCACCACCTGGACACTAATCCTAGAATGCAGGTTCAGGTAGACTCAGCCTTCAAGGATGAAAACAAATCCTTATCCTAAGAGTGCAGGGCTCTCACCATTAGGAACCTGGGTGTGTCTTGACTCTTCAGCCACAGGGATCCAACTCCTTCCCCTTCCAGAAACTCGGATCTCTAGCCCTTCACCTTCTCATATCCCGGCTCTATTTTCTCAAGACCCAGGGGTTTTAGATTTGTTTAGCCTTGTCAGCTTTGATGGCCATCGTGTCCCTCCCCCCTGGATTCCCAGCAGAATCTCTTAGGTCTTTATTTTAGCAAGACCTAAGTATTCCTGCCTCTACCCCTCCTGATTTAGGAGCTCTCATCCCCAGACCCCCAATTTCCCTGGGCCTTGGCGCTGGCCCAGCGCAGGGCGAGGTAACAGGTTGTGCCAGCCAGCGCACCACCGGGTTTCTGTTTACTTCCCGGCCCGCCCCTGGGGATGGGAGCCCTGTGCTTTACAGGGCCGCCCAGGGACAGGGGCTCAGGGGCTCAGGAGGAAAGGCCTGGCACCCTGGATTCTCCATGCCAACCCCCGGGAGGGTCCCTGCTCCCTATTCACCCCAGAACGCACGCACACCTGTCCCCTCCTCTCGACAGGTGCCAAGTATCGACAGGTGCCAAGCACAGCTGGGCCCGAAAATTCCAGGTACTACAGAAGTCTCAGTCCAGCTGTCCCAGGGCCAGACCCAGTGTGTCCCCGATCCCTGCTTTGAGTATCCAACGCCTACCCACCACTCTCTCTGCTCTGGTGTCCTGGCTTCCCAGTTTTTTCCAGAGTCCCGGGAGGCCGTTCCTGAGCTCCCTCATCCTGCCCTGCCGACCGGTCTTCCCCAACCATGCCAAAAGTCTGGTTGTCCCGCCCTCTGCACCCCCCTAGGCTCTCACCTGTCGCCACCGGGCTCCCTCCGAAGTTCCCCTGATCCCCGATGTCCTCTTCCGGAGGCGGCGCCAGGTGCAGGCTTGCACAGGTGAGGGGCGGTGCCGCGGGAGGGGCTGGGACGCCTCCTGGTGGTGGGAATGGCCAGGCGCTGTAAAAGGAAAGCACCTCCATCCTCTTAAAGGTCCATCTTGCTCATACTGGGAACAGTAATTGAACACCTACTATGTGCAGATCATAGGCTGAGCATAGAAGTCAGCTTCTTACTCTTCACGTTTGTCTTTGGGATAGAAAATTATTAATAAGGGTAACACAGTAAGCCCTAATTAAGAAAGCTCTTTTATAGGAACAAATTGTTTACCTTTGTGACATCCTAAGGAAGCAACTGCTACTGACATCCTGTTTTATAGGGGTGCAAGCTGAGGTTCGGGGAAACCACCGGCTTTGTTTGGGGCACAAGTTGGCTATTGTCTTAGTTACTTTTCTGTTGCTGTGATAAAGCATAGTGACCAAGGCAACTTATAGGAGAAAGCATTTGATTTGGGGGCTCATGGCTCCAGAAGGTTAGAGTCCGTGACCATCATGGCAGGGAGCATGGCAGCAGACAGGCAGGCATGCATGGTGCTGGAGCAGGACCTGGTATGGACTTTGAAATCTCAAGCCTGCCCCCAGTGACACACGTCCTCCAACAAGATTAGACCTCCTAATCCTTCCCAAACAGTTCCACCAACTGGGGACAAAGCATTCAAATGTAAGAGTCTATGGGGGGGTATTCTAATTCATACCACCACAATTATGAACAGTGAAAGTGTGAGGTTAACATCTTTTTGGGTGGTGGTGGCAGGGTCTCATGTATCACAGGATGGCCTCAAACTCACTAAAGAATAGAGGATGACTTTGTGCTTCAGATGATTCTGGCTCCACCTCCTGGGTGCTAGGATGGCAGGCAGGCATCACCACACACTCACTTTCTGCTGGGCTGGGGTTTGAACCCAGGGCCTGGCGTGTGCTAGATAGGTACTCTACCAACTGACTATCACCCCAGCCCTAGCAACTTATTTTTTAATCAATTCATGCTGCACACGAGACACTGATGACCGGGCACTTAAGGTGGCTTGCCTCTAAGCACACGCCAGTCCATGTGGCTCCAAATGTGGGGGTTCAGTTCTTTCATCCTGCAGAATTGGGCCCCATGTTCCAGCAAGGGTAGCAGCCATGATATAGAGGGATAGGATCCAAGGTAGGTGATGTAGGACCAGCCCACACAGGGGGACCCCAGCCTTGGCCCTGTGGCTTGTCATAATTCTCTTCAGACACTGTGGCCTCCTGAGGAGACACAGGACAGGAATTCCAGACCACACAAAGAGGACAAACAGATCTCTGGGAAAGTGGTCTGCTGGCAAACGTTTAACAACAGTCTGTGGGGAGAACAAAAGCCACAGCTTGTTACATTTACCAATTTCTGAGGTAAGAGTACTCCCTCCTGATGATTTGAGGTTACTGCCAGGAAACCAGCTGAAGATGTATGGTCAGCTGAGAGAGAGTGCCATGGAGGCAGGAGGGAGAGATATGCTGGAGTTGAACCCAGAGCCTCCACATTCTACCCAAGAGCTCTACCTCTGAGCTCTGGTCCTCATAATCAGCTTTTCCAACTGGCCAGTATTATCTGCTCTGTGTGTCTCTGGCTAGGGTTCAGGACGCCTGAATCTTGGGAAGTTGGAGGCCATGGGTCTAAAAATTGGGTGGAAGGCTGGGCACTGGTGGTGCACACCTTTAATCCCAGAACTTGATGTGGGGGCAGAGGCAGGTGGATCTCTTGAGTTTGAGGCCAGCCTGGTAGGCAGAGAGAGTTCCAGGACAGCCAGGGCTACATGGGGAAACTCTGTCTGGGAAAATAAATACATAAACACACACACATACATATATGAGAGGTAGAAATTGGAACTCACAGCTTATGAGGAAAGGGACACAAGGACTCCTTGAAGAGGTAGTTCAGGGACTGGGACTCCTGGGTCCTGGAGATGAGACAAGGCTTTCTGCCAGCAGAGAGTACATGGAACACAATTCTTTGGAAGGGAGTTAGAGACTGAAAACTGCCTGGCCTTCTTGCAAGGATGCCATTTGCTCCCCCCCCCCCCCCCCCCCCCCCCCCTCCGCCCCAGCATCCATAAGAGCAAAGTGACCGGCTTTGGAGAATTGAGGACACTGCACCCTCTTCTTGGCAGTACCTCCTGACCTCTTTGAAAAATCAAGCAAAGCAGCCAGGTGGTGGTGGTGTAGGCCTTTAGTCCCAGCACTCAGGAGGCAGAGACAGGAGGATCTCTGTGAGTTCAGGGTCAGCTTGGTCTACAGAGTGAGTTCCAGGACAGCCAGGACTACACAGAGAAACCGTATCTTGAAAAACCAAAAAAAGAAGAAAAAAAAAAAGAAAAGAAAGAAAGAAAATCAAGTGAAGCGTCCCCTCCAATTGGTCAGCACCCAGCACACCACGCTCAGCCCACCGTGGCAGAGGCCCTCCAATGAGGCAGGTGCTGAGTTCATCTGGACATGGTGAGACTAGGGCCCGCCCTCTGGGAGGCTCACAGCACACCCCAGACGTGGGAAGGGCCAATAAACTGGAAACAAAGCAGTAAAACAAGAGAGCAAAGGAGCGCGGCGTGGGTGCTGACGTCACGTGGCTGCCGTTCTAATTCCAGTTGGGCTGTCGGCCTGAGGTGTGTGTGCCTGTGCTCAGCTGACTTACCCCCTGTGGCCCTCAGTTCCCTTGTTTTAAGTAGGGGCCACGGCAGCTCCTGGCTGGCAGGAATGTAAAGATCCAATGAGAGTAAAGAACTGCACTTGTGACTCACCTGTGTGTTCCATTGTGTTCCACCCTCAGGACAAACCTATGAGGTCACCCCAGTCATAGGTGAGGAACCCAGATGTGAGAGGTAAAGTTAATGTCTGTGGGTGCATACATACCCTCACCCTAGATTGTCTAGCACCGGGTCCCAGACACTCTTGGTTTTGTTTTGTTTGTTTTTAAGATGGAGTCTTTCTATGTCATCCAGACTGACTATGAATACTCAATCATCCTGCCTTAGTCTCTAGAGCGCTGGAGTTTTTGGACGCTTGAATCTAGTTCCCAGCTCTGCACCTAGCTGTAGGCCACCCTACAATTGGAGACTTCCAGTCCTGTCCGCCTTTCCCTACTCATGTGGAGGAAGATGGGCAGTAGGGACAAAGTGTCCCCAGGGAGGCCCTGGAGAAGCTGGACGTGAGGAACCATTCAACAGCCCTCTCGTGCTCTTCAGTGGGGCTCCCAAGCAAGCCAGCCTTTCGGAGGCCCATGCCCGACCTCCACACCTCTTCTCACACCCTCTCCATCTAACTAGCCCCTAGTGGTCCATGACGAGGGTGGAGGGAGGAAGTCTCCTTTTTGGGGGAGCCTTCCCAGATCCTACAGTACCTTGGCCAAGCTCTGCTGGGCACCTAGAGGCCTCCCTTCTCTTCCACACAGGCGACTGGAAGGAAAGGCTTGGTTCCAAACCACAGTGCCCTCAGGCTTTTAACATGTATGAAGTCTGTGAACAATAAGTATATTGTGGGGAGGACTTGAAATCTTTGTATGAAATATTTCACACTGAATGCACTGTTAATTTATTTTTAAAAATCACATAGAAGCTTTCAGAATGTCAAGAAAATAGCTCCAATGCTTTTCGCAGTTACAGAGAAGTATTTAGTAATATAGTGATGTCATATATGCTATATCAAAGACAACTGGATCAAAGAAACGCTGTCCTATATATAGCTGGTCCACTCTGTATGCCACAACCGCTTTAAAGCCTGCGTGTCAGAGGCTGAGGCTGGAGAATGCTGATCTTGAGTCCAGCCTGAGCTACAAGGCAAGACCCTGACTCAGAGCCTAAAACAAACAAGCTTCCACAGCCTTGCATTTCATTGTCCTCCTTAGAAAGGGTGAATTATGCTGGGCAATGGTGGTGCACACCTTTAATCCCAGCACTTGGGAGGCAGAGGCAGGCGGATCTCTGTGAGTTTGAGTTCCAAAACAGCTAGGGCTACATGGAGAAACCCTGTCTCAAAAAAAAAAAAAAAAAAAAAGAAAGAGTGTTGGGATTAAAGTTGTGCGCCACCACTGCCTGGCTGAGACTCAATCTCCAAACACTGGGCAGGGACAAGAGTGAGCTGTTTGGGATGGGAGAGATGCTTTACAGACAAGGAGAAAGTCTTCCTGGAACCAGGGCATCCGTCATCTTCATTATCCCTCTTGCTCTTTCCAATTTTGATCCCTTGCCCCTCCCCCTTTTAATTTCTTATTCCAGGTTATTTAACTCAGTGTATAATAATATTCTTTTCCAGTATTTTCTTCAGTTTAGAAGGGTTTTGTCTTGTTTTGTTTTGTTTGTTTTTTCAGTACCAGAGATTGGACCCAGGGTCTCACAAATAGTGGGCAAGTGCCCTTGACTTGAACCAGGGTGTGATATGGAATACCTTTAATCCCAGTGCTCCGGAGACAGAGGCAGGCAGATCTCTGAGTTCCAGATCAGCCTGGACTACAAATTGAGTTCCAGGACAGCCAGAGATGTCACACAGGGAAACTCTGTCTTGTGGGACTGGGGATGGGGGGTGGGGGGCATATATTGAGGAATTCCAGCACTCAGGTGGCAGAGAGAGGAGGGTCTCCGGGAGGAAGAGACCAGCCGGTCTACAGAGTGAATTTCAGAACAAAGTGAGCCCTTGTCTCAAAACAAAAACAAAAGGACATGGAAGAGGAAGGAAGAAACCCTGCTTGGCCTGCTGGCCCTCACTCTGCATGGCAGGTTCCCCTATCCTCTTGTTGAGGCGTTCCTTCTCCAATATTAGAACCAGTTTCTGGACTCCAGGGTAGATTGGAGATCAGCAACTGTCTAGGAATCTTCCAGGTCTTCGGGGCCAGGTTGGAACTGCTGAGACAGCCAGCCTCCCGGACTGAACAACTTGGGGACCTCTCTAGTGTGAGGCGAGACAGCCATTTTTGGACTACAAAGACCACACCCTGCTCACTTCTGCTTTGGATACCCAACACAACTGCTAATCCAACCCACCTTCAGT